GATTTGCGTTGTTCACAGGTGTGATAACAGTAGATAGAATCGAAACATCTTAAAACAAGGTTTCCATTGTTGTCAGACCATTTCAAAACACGAGTTTCCCTCTTCTTAGATACGAATATGATATGATGTAGACAGATTTTGTGTCCGACTCATGTCAATTTTTATAAATAATAATGAATTAAAATTATGCCATGTTGGCTAGTTATAGCATTTTTAACTAAAACGATATATGGTCGGTCAAAAATCTATATTTCACAAAAATATTATGTAGCAAACAAATAATGATATATAGAAGGGCATTAAAAATATGAAAGTACATTGCCAAATTAAACGATAAATTTACTTTTGCCAGACATTTTTAAAGAGGACACCTGGGAAACAAAAAGATTTTAAGATAAAAAAATTATGTGGACGTCAACATTGTTGATGGCTGTTTTCATTTTTGAAATCCACACACAGACATAAACTATTTTAGTTTGGTATTTTGTTTCTTCACATTTAGAAACAGTGGCTGAAAACGGGAACATCTTGGAGACAAATTGCAGAAAATGATTCGAAACATTTCCTCTAAAAGTTTTGATTCCGCATCGAAACATTTCAGGAAACGACTGTGCCAATTAATACTGAAACACACGCAATAAAAAACCATATAAAAATATATATAGGTTTCGAAAATGTTTCCTATTTGTGGCATACTGTTTCAATTTTGTGTCGTTGATTACTTTTAGGTAAAACACGATTATTAGAAACATTACCTAAAATGTGTTCAAAAATGTTACTAATTTGCTTCGCATAATGTTTATATTACACTTTATAGATCAAATAATGATGTACTTCAAGCATGAAAACTGGAATGATAAAACTCTTATGTACTAAAAATAGTAGATACTTTTTTCTTGTGGAAGCTGCGCCCAACCTCCTTCAAATCTCACGAGTCGTAACTGAGTATTAAACAATACACCTTTCCCGTTAATCGAAAACAGCGGTCATAATGCGCGCGCATGAAGTTAAGTTTGCTAGACTGAAAGATCGTAGGTCCTAGCTTGTTGCATGTGGCTTGTCATCCGTATCGGTCAATTTTGTTTTGTTTTGATATACTATATATTTTTAAAATTTTTTTTGGAAATATTATTTTTTGTTTTTATATTTTGTTTATTATTTTGCGTACGCTTTACAGTTTTAGTGCATTTAAAATGTGGACCAACATTTAAAAACCTCATAACTTTTGTATAGTTTTATGTCAGTCTACATTTATGCATACAAGAATGTCATTGTTCTTGTGAAATTGGGTGAGTATTTGACTATTATTTTTTTAACATTACTACTAAAAATAAATTATATATTTCTTTCTTTAGTTCATCCCAGTCTTGCCATCATTTGCTGGGTTTAGAATTTTAATTGCAAGACATTGTATTAAGAGTTGAATATGAAACTCCCGAGCACATTGCTTCAACATCCCAAGCTATGATATAGAATAAGCCACGTGGGACAAAAGTAATTCCTGAAGATGCAAGGTATCTCATATTCCAAAAACTTCCTACAAATATTTTGACGAGGAAGGCCCCCGTTGTAATAAAAATTGCTATTCATAGCACTTCTGCGATGTCGAATGAACAAGCAGATGATTTGCCCACAAAATTACAGAAATTAGAGAGAAGAGAACCTTTTTTAAAAGATTGGAGTTAAGGGCATACCTTGGCCTTTTTTTATTTCTACAGAGAATACCAGTAAGTGCTCTTTTGCAGGTTTTTATACTTCACTTTTGGCCTTTCAAAATTATACTTATTTATTATAATATATATCAAAGTTTTATTAATTATGCTAATAATATTACAGTATTCAAGTTATGAAATGTATGTGTTGAGTAAAACTATTTGTATTTCCAGTTCCAGAAATTACTATTTTTGGTCAACAGAATAGAGGAGGGAAAGATATTTCTAATGATGATATGCCAAGACTCCAGTACCATATTAAATACTAATTAGAAATATTTTTTAATTAGCTGCTCTTTGCCAGAAGGGAACCATTTTCATGAATTTTCGTTTGGCGAAGCTCTACAACTGGAAAGGCGCATGCTACAAGGAGATAATGGCAAATATGGTGGTGTATTTAAGAAAAAATCATGAAATAATGATAGTAATATATATTTAGATTTTTAAAAAAAAAAAATGTTTTATTTTATATATTATTTATTTTTATTATAGTATACAGTAAATATATACAGGATCTGTCATAAAGTCGTGACACATATTTTTTTGAAATTTTGAGAAAAATATATTCTTCATTAAAAGTTTTGCTCATTTTAAAATGATTAATGCCGTTTATGCTTTCACAATTTTCCATACCGTTTCTTTTGAGTAAAGTAACTTAAAAACGCTATCAAATATATTGAATTTTTTTCCTGTAATATCTCAAAAATCAAAACGATTTTCTATCGTAATATAATTTCAATTTCATTCCTTGATAGATGGTTATTATTGATTTTGATTAACGTCATATTTTCGCCGTGGTAAAGTATCATCACCCTTTCTCTAGCATTGAACTAAATAATCTTGTGCTTCTTTAACATTTTAACAGTAAAAATATGACGTTAATTCAAATTCTACCAAAGAATGAAAACAAAATTGTATTAACTTAGAAACAGGTTTTGATTTTAGACTTACAAAAAAAATTACATGTTTCTTTTATTAATTTTTCTAAAAAGTTCCAAGTGGGAAACTTGGAAAAGTCTAAACGGGAGTTACCACTATCCACTATAGCACAAGCAAAATTTTTCATGAAGAGAAGATCTCCCTAAAGATTAATTTTCTTAATGGTTGTAAAGTTTGTTAAAAGAGCACACACAGTACAAATTTGATTAATAGAACTTAACAAGCTTATTGGTAATCTAGAAGCTAAAATTTTGAATGCCTTAATTCTTCTAATCGCTCTTTCCACATGTATTCTTTCATGTGCAATTTTCCTGATAAATTCCACGTCATTGTCTTGAAACTGCATACCAGTAACTTTGAATGTTGAGTTTGATACCAATATGCTCTAAAATACTGTTTATTTTGGAATCTTTATCAGCTAAAATAATGTCCCCTGCATTTAATTTGCAGGTTTCTTTTCTATCTTTTATTTTTAAATGATTATAAAAAACCACTATTCCATCTTTTTATCCAATATAAATCCTAAAAGTAAAAAACCAATGAAAGATGTTAACAACATCAAACCTAATAACATACCATAATTAACATATACATTATTAAAATTATTAAAAAAAAAAAAAAAAAAAAAAAAAAAACAATAATCATAATAATTAGTCCTTTCTCTTCAAAATATATTGGTATTGGTGCACTGCACCAATAGGTCCTTTTTCTGATTTGAATATAAATATTATTAATAATATTTTTTTTTTTTTTTTTTTTTTTTAAATAATTTATTTCATTAATATCATTGTGTTCTCAATTAAAATTTAGATTTATATATCGCCTATGATTTAATCGGGTAATCGAGTATTCTTTGTTTTAAAATTTATTTTTTGCAGTTTTACTGGTTTCTATATTTTGTACAGCTTCATTGGCTTCTGCGTTATTATACAGATATAAACGTGATATGCAATGGGGTTTTAGTCATGTCCTTGTTGAAATGTAAATAAATCTCTCAAAATGACGCCAGCAAACCTAAAACAAAGTTTGATGTAAGTGGCAAATATACTATACAGTCTGGGAAATATATATCCTTATCTTGTCGCTTATTGCTTGTGAATCTGTTTTCAAAATGTTAGTCCATATATTTCTCCAAGTGTCTTTTAATGAAAAATAAACTAATGTCAGTACATGGCTTGGTCGAATTGGAGCAACCGACTATACAACTACGCATTGTGAACTGAAATTTGCCCCACACAATACTTACGGATTGGAGAAGTAAAAAGATACCAATATAAATAAGTAGGGTTATGTATACCATAAATCCTACAGATATAAGTTACGACATCCGTGCTCCGTCATTTCTTTAGATACACTTCTTTTTATCCCTAGCCTTTAAAGACTCCGTTTATAACCAGATTTGAACGGCGCCAAATCTGTCCGCGCATTATGACCGCTGAAAATCCGATTAACGGGAAAGGTCTATTATTGTTCTAGAACTCCAATTGCCGATACTCTCAACAAGTATACAGTATTGTTCTTTCAGTGTACCAACCCCCTATTTCTAGTTCCTAGCCCTTCCTCGCAAACCGTCTTCTAAAAAGGTTAGAAGCGACTTCATTACCCGCATTCTTCCGTCTATAATAATCGCCCACGACACAAAACCCCCGTAATTACTCCCCTGAATAATAAAATCGCATAAAACGGGAACGAACAGAGAAGAAAAAGGACGCGCCCGGCGCAAATCTGCGCGACGCCACTGCACCCCCCGCCGCTACCCCATCTTTCTTGCTTAGGCGGACAAACAAATCTATTAAACCCATCTCGCTTTAATCCGCTCGTAAAAAAAGTGTTTAGTGTTTAGCCATAAACTGTATCGGTATCTCTGTTCGCCCCGCTCGCCGCGCGCTATTAAGAAAGATCCGGTTTACCGGAAGAGAATTGCCAGTGTGTAATGCCGTCTTTGTCTCGGGTGATGGTTTAGGGTAAGGGTGTCTCTGTCGGACGGTGTTGGCCACGCCCACGGAGTCCGGGCGACTCCGGCGCAGTAGTGGAGGAAAGTTGGGGTCGCGCCGCCCATAGCAACGTGGATTGTTGGTCGCGTTTGGCATCGCTACATCGCGGCGAGATAAAAGCACAAAAGCTTGCTAGCATCCGACGGGCTTCATCTCTGGCTATATTATCGTTAAAGCTCTGATAATCACGCGAAGTCTTTCTTTAACAATCAACGGTTGATTGAGCTGTCGTGTTGAATTCGTTTTGTTTTCTGTTGAGTTTTAAGACATGGACCAGAAATAAGGCTATTGGTGAATTTGTGTATTTTTTTAAGAAACTGATCTTTTTCTTTTGAAATCTGTCGGGGGTTGATTCCCCCATCGCCAGCATCACGATTTTCGGTGACGGTCACAAAGTGAGTATGATCATTTTCTTTTATCTATTTTCTCTATCTAGAATATTGTTTTGTTCATAAGAGTTGATATTAAACACAATAAATTTTTCGTCGCTCTTTAAGGAATTTTCAAAAATAGTTTTAATCAACTGCTGGTGATGCTAACACATAAAGCTAAAGTGGTGAAGAAAAATGTGTTTTTAGTATATTAACAGTATCATTTTTCATTGGTTTGAATAAAATAAGACAAATACTCAATATTTTTACAAAAGAAACATAATATAACCGGAAATATTTTGTCGAAAGCGTCATTTGATTGTTCTAACAATATATATCAGTTTCCCAGAGAATTCTTGTGTTAATATTCGTGTTTAATGCGTCTATCGTAAATAGATTTTTTATAAAAACTCAAAACTGAGCATTAACCACAATAAACCGAGAAAGAAATAATCATTGTGTTTTAATCATCGAGGCATTTTCAAAAATAGTTTCATGATGCTGATGATGCTCAAACATTCTTGAAGTAGTATCATATTTGGTGTTTTGTAGCATGTATTTCTTTGAAAAATGAAAAAATTAGCGAAATTCAATAATTATTGTGAATAATAATATTAAATAATATATAATATATATACAGGGTGTCTCCCGGCCAAATAAGTGTAAGTATTTGCTGACTGGTAGATCTCGATAAAAGAAACAATATTTTCTCTTTTATTTGTTTTTCAGTTTAAAAATAACGGAGTTATTTTACTTTAAAATTTCCAAAAAAAAAAATCTTTTGCTAAAATTTTGAGAACCACTGGATCTTTTTGGATTTTCTCTTCTTGTAAATTTAATCTTAATACCTATGTTGCCATATTATCGCTATTAGAAATTTTTAATTAAAACAAAAAAAAAACTAAAAAATTTCGAATTTTCCAAAAAAAAATGTTTCAAAAAAAAAAAAAAACCTCATAGGCGTGTTTCTGGGGTTGAACTACCTATGCTCTAGTTAAAATACTTGATCTTATTTCTGGCCACCCTGTATAATATATAAATTTTCATTTTTCTCCTGGAAACTATAATTACAAAATGTCAAACTACACCTAAAAACCAAAAAATTTAAAAAAAAAAAAAAAAAAAAAATAGTATTAATAAAAACATTTTCTTTTAAAAAAAAAAAAAAAAAATCATTTCTTAATTTTTTTAAAAAAGGTCCTATTATTGCTCTATTTCCCAAACTATAATTTCATTCTTTTTCATTCGAGAAAAAAGAAGAATTCTAAAGAGAACCATTATCATACCAAAATTATATTTTGATTGTTATCTCATAATAATCATATACATGTAAGATTGTTTATGTAATCTACTTCTGATGCACACTACACAAAGCAACATAACATATTAGCAACACTACACAAAGGGAGACAAAAATATGCTTTGTTTATAAAATTAATAACGCTTGGTGTACAAACTTGATGTACAGCTAAGGCACATTAAAAGTAATATCTATGTATACCATTATGGCTGGTTTATTTCTTTTTACCTAATTTCTGGAAATGGAAAAAACCTGCCTATTGGAAACTTCCCTGGTGTAAAATACCTGCCTATTTTGTCACCGAAGTATAAATCTAAAAAGTTATTTTTACATTATCAAAATCGTCACACCGTCAAGAATCAAATCGAAAGCCAGTTTGTCTGTGGTTTATATTCTTAAAACTAATTTGGCTCATAATAGTTGACGTTTTCAGGGACGTCTCCCCCTAACGTCAGAAAGCAAAAAGCAAAAAAGAATAAATAAAACTATTTAAAACTAAAATGAAACTACATAGAGAGAACACTATTTTTTAGTAGATACTCTTCTTATAAGTAAGTAATAAGAACCGTTGAAATAAAAGTACCACTAGTCTTTCCTCTTTTTCCTCTCACAATTATTGTCCTCCTGAATTTAAAACTGAAACCAAATATTTCTGGGCTTAATATATACTATTTCAAAACATAACAAAACTATATCATTCCAATAATCTCTCAAATATGAAAAACAATGGACTAAATATACAAAATTTGTACCATACCCTATCAATATTTGATTAAAATCAGTAGTCAAAGATATTAAACATTTTTTAACTTGATGGACACTGGGCAAACATTCAATAATCACAGTAACTGAAATTAATAATTTGAAGTTTTATAAATTTGCAACAAAATATATTAAGAACAAGCAAAAAATGTATATATCCAAGACTAATTTTCATGTTGCAGTGGAGGAGATTCATCTTTGGGGTTTATATTATTTTCAACCAATGGTATCAATGTTTTAGTTATTCATAACATTTGCCACAGAATTACCAAAGTACCAAAATTAAAAAAATAATCTGTTCATAAAATTTTGATTTTACTTGTTTAGCTTAGGACAACATATTTCCTGAGCAACAAAATATTTCTAAATATAAATATGTTTTGACATACATCTAAATAAGTATTTGTCATGGCATCTCTCTTCTGAAACTATCAAAATTCTTTTAGCAACGAATCTAAAAATACTTGCACTGCTTCATTTGCACCACGCAGGATGTTCTTATTAGCGATATGTGGCATATCAACAAACCTAATTGTAACAAGGTTATTAAACTAATGTACAGCAAAACACTAAGTAACAAAAACAAATATCGGCAGTCATTATAGTGTCAACTGAAATAAAAGTTTTTATGCATTAGAATTAATTCAATTATTGAATCAATCAAGAATAAATATTTTTCATTACAAGTCAAGAAAATAATGCTAAGGATTCATTAAATATATTTTATTTTATTATAAAAAAATGTAGTATACAGATTAGAAGTTTGAAAACTAACAATCGGGAATATTTTTCTTCCATAAGAAATGCTATTAGGAAGGTCTTAAATACATATCCGGAGAAGGAAGGGGAAACACTCCTCCGATGGGATTTGAAAAACCTTTAAAAACAATTTTTGTGGCTAAGAAAAATAAAAAAATAATAGTCTTTAAAAATAATGCTTAGGTACTTTTACTAATATTTCAAAGAGTAATAGTACACTTTTTTAGGATTTTTACATAAAACTGTAAGGAAAATCTCTCAAGGATATGCCACACAAGGTAAATTTGTATTAAAAAACTTTGGGATTACTGTCGTATTAGAGGATGGAATGATGGGTCAAAGATATCTCATTCGAGATCTTCCTGTTTGCGAATGTTTGAATAGACGAAAACCATGGATCATGGTTAATGATCTATGATTGCTAAGATCTAAAGATGTCTATCTTCACCTGCAGTCAGTGGACTGCCAACTAGCACGAAGATCAGTAGCATTTGTTGAAATCTGGTTCTCCAGGGTTGTACCTAATGCTGTGATGTTATTCTACATGATTCCTTCCTGTATAGAGGTAAAGAAGGTAAAGGTAAAGAAGGAAGAAGGTAATGTTAAGAAGGTAAAATGAAAAGTTTGAAGTAAAATGTATTGTTAACATACCTGCACTACCAACCAGTTTCACCAATATAGTAATGGTCTTCTCTTAAAAAGTTTACGATCAAAAAACTTCCAAAAGATCTTCCTGATTTAAGCAAGAAAATCTTCGACTGTCACGGGTTTTTAACAGAACACTGTCTCTCAATGAACACCTCAGTAGATTGAAACTAAGAAGGAAATCTATGAATGCAGCACTGTGGGAAAATGGGAAACACCAGTACCTCATCACTGAGTGCCGAGACGACAAACTATTCGTGCCAATGAACTTGGTACGACTGATATTGGAGATGAGAACTACCTTCATAAAAACTGTCCAGATACTGGCTTTTGTCAAAGCCTTGGGACTTTATGATGAGTTATAACTCAAGAAAGGGAGACACAATAGATCTGTAAGGTCGCAGTTATTAAACCCCCTCCCACTCATTCTAAATTCCAAAAAATTCTAATAGTCTTCTCTTGTCTCTGTTCTTTGTCAGCTCTCAATAAACCTTAATAGTGCATTATGCGTGTATGCATTCACACTCTCAATAAACCTTAATAGTGCATTATGCGTGTATTCATACATATGAGTGTATGCATTCTGAAATAAACTTTTCTACAGACATTAACAATTTATATCATCTAAGGATATATTGGTCCCCATACTTTAAAATTATCTGTATTATTCCATATTATACATTTTAGACAAGTGATTTGTAGTCACTATAAAAATGATTTTAATTTACTGCTTATAACAATAAAATCAACAAACTCATTTCATAAGGTGCTGATTAGACAAAAAAGGAAGAAAGAAGTTACCGTCAAAGAATGCCTAGTAAAGCTGAACAAATTAGGCAAAAAATAAAGTCCTCCTACTCTGGGAGTCACACGCTGTCTTCAATGAACACTTCAGTAGATTGAAGCTAAGAAACAACGAAAAATGCAGATACTGTGGGGAAATGGGTAAACAAACTTTGGTACTACATATATTGGAGATGAAGAACTAATTTGTGTCAAACCGTCTCAGATAAAGGCTTTTATCTGGTGACTGTATGATGAAAGCTATCAATCTTTACCTGATTGTTAGATTTCAAATTCTCACCCTGTATAATAGAATACTGTATATGTTTCAAAAGTTCCATTAAACACAGAGAGTATCTAACATTAAGCAGCGTGTCCTCTTTAAAATAGAAAATGAGGAAAATAGGTTATGTATATTCATTTATGACGTGTACCTGAATGGAAACCGGAGGGGAGCCTTAATAGATAAGTTAGGATGCGACATAATATGCTAATTCGCATTACTTCCAATTGATATTAATGACGATTTTCCACTTAATTCATTAAAAGCTTCGGATGTTGCGCACCTGAGCCTACGGTGGCCTACGATGTTGCGCCTCCGGCTAACTCGATTTTCTTTCGTCGATTTTTCATCGAAAATATTAGTCTTGTTTTAGTTCACAGTTTTTTCTTGCTTAGTAGTACGTGACTAAAGTTCCTTTGCTCATTTCATGTATATATTTAAAATAAACAAAGCATCCTTTCAATTAGAAGTAATTCAGTTTTTTGGAATTTT